GGGGTGATTGTGGGATTTTTTTGTGGGATTTGAGTTTAATTGAATGGAATTGGATTTTGCATGCCAGTTGAATTGTGGTTGCATCCACTGAATAAAAGCAAAAACCCTACCATTAATTTGCTGTAATAGATTTTTTTTTATTTTTTTATTTATTTGCTCAGTGTAGACTTTGTTCTTATGATCTTCTCATCTGTAATTACATATTTGCAGCTCATTGTTGAGTCCTTTCTTTTTGAAAAAATTGGAGAAGTTTGAGAATTTTCAGACACATCAATTAGGTTCTATTGTTCTTTGCTTATACCTATGTCTACTAGAAAATTTGAATCTGGATGTGCCAAAACAAAAAGGAAACAAAAGGTTGAACAATTGATTGAATTTCAAGAGGGAGCACTTGATAAGTTTTTTAGAAGTAATATACGAACACATAACGAGGACGTAGTCATTGAAGAAGAGTTTGATGATAATGATAATATAAATAATACAATTGAAGAAAAACATTGTTTGGTCAATGACGAGGACCAAGAGGTATCTACTGACAGAGATAAGGTTGCTGTTTCCCTTGACCTTATTGATCCAGCAAATTGGGGAAATATGAATACAAATTTAAGAGATTGAATTGTAATGAAAGGTTCTGTAAGAGAAAATGATGTAATTTTTTCGAAAGATGTAGCAAATCGACACTTCTCATCCACACACACACACACACACACACACACACACACACACACACACACACACACACACACACACACACACATATATATATATATAGTGTAGGTTATATAATCAATTGGACCAAGACACAAGAAAACTGTAAGTGAATTTGGGTTAAGACAATATTAACAAATTAAGTTGCTACTAATAGCCCACATGGCTTTCGATCGAGCATATAAATTGATTGTATTGATAATTATTTCACTCATTGGCCGAAACCGATGAAATATATTCTAAATTGTTTTAACATCATTATCCGAAATTTATTGAGTATCAACAAAACCCAACTAATCTCCACATTGATGTCCAATAAACCTGCAAGCAATCAAAACACACAGTTAGTACTTGCATAATCAAGGTCACTGATAACATTGGGATCATAGACCTTACCTCTTGTTTCGGAACCAAAATACATACCATACATGCTCCATGTACTCACTAGGGCTAAGGTTACAAACAAATACTAAGTAGAAGCAGATAATCACTGTGAACAATCAAGAGCAAATAATCATGTGATGAAGATATAATATAGGATAACCCATAGATCTTTTGCAAAATACATTCACACAGAACAACAGATAAACACTAAGTCAATCAATCAAACAGTCAAAAACACATGCAACAAATGCATAAATAACTTCACGAAAAGATCTCACCACACTTGTCATATGACATCCTGTGTTGCTCACACATCGAGAACACATACCTTCTCTCATCGCCTACCATACTCATTAAACTAATCACTCAATCCATGTCTAACTAGTAGACCTCTATAGATCTAGATTTAGGGATAATCATCTATCACCAAATCACTTCTGCCAACTTAAATGGATAGTGGGTCCACCTAATAGAAGTGATATAAATGCCTATAAAATATATTCTAAACTTTTTAACATTATTACCTATGATTTATTGAGTATGAACAAAAGTCAACATTGTTTATCAAAGCCCAACAAACACTGTGCCAAACAGTTTGACCACAAGGAAAATAAACCAAGTACATATAAAAGATTAATTGGGAACTTCAATGTGCATATAAATGCGGGCAGTTTATATGGGAACATCGACTCAGCAATTAATAAATTTCAACAGAAAGAAAGTGTCGTCTGCCTAAGAAACCTTTACTTCTAGTTTAAACCACTACAACGAAAATAGCATTTTGCGTGTTGTAAAAGGTAACATTCATTGATTAAATGTTGTTAAAGATGTGTATCGCAATATTTTAGCAAGTGAATGTCGCTATTGACTAATATAATTGAGATTTCGCAACACTTTTTAAGGGAATCGATGGTTATCATACCATACGAAGTTTAACTCTGCTTACTTTACACACAGAATGAGTTTAAGTACCAAGATAATTGTCAATTTTGATAAATTTAGAGAACAACATCAAATCAAATTATTGGAGAAACCAACTAAAGAAATAAAATTAAGGATATTTCCACTTGTACATCAAGGGTTCCACCCCCCTCACATGGGAGGTGGGGCCCACTGGAATAATATTTTTTTATTCGAGTGGACCCACCTCCTATGTGAGGAGGTGTAATCCCTGATGTAGATTATGATGTACCACTAGCATTGTTCAAAAATTAAAGCGTCCAAGGTAGTAGTGGTCTCAAACCGTTTCATGCTCGTCCCTTATGACACCCCTGATTGGGAGGAATTAAATTTTTCTACAGTAAATCAATTCTCATTTTCAATCACACGTTCTTCAATAAAATAATATTTTCCATCACATCATTATTTTTTTCTTCTTTTTCAACCACACATTTCCCATCATATCACTATTCAAAATCAATTCTTCCCCCAAAAATCTCTCCCAAACAAGATCTATATATACTGCAAAACCTGCAAATAATTGAATTGAGAGATCACATGACATCACACCTGATGAGCATTAGCAAGTGAAAAAGTCCATCAAGAAAGAATTTATTATTTATTAATATTATTAATATTTGAAAACATTTCCTAAACGGACAATGATCTAATTAAGGGAGCACTTTGTTTAGTAAACAACATAATTAGCACTAAATATGGTCAGATAATTAGTTTTTCGAGCACTCTTTTTCTTTTTGTATATATTATTTTCTTTAGTTCATGATTCAATTAATTCGGATGATCATTGTCAGATAAGATTCAATTTGAAAGTACACATGGAAACTTATGGCATGTTTAATGTAGATTTTTTTTTTTTTCGTGAAAAAATGATATTTTCGGAGAATGTGCGGCTAAAAATTATGAAAAAGTTATGAATCCACGTGTAACATTATTATTATTGAAAAAGATGTAGAGTTGAAAATGAATTTGGAAAACAAAGTAATTTTAAAGAATTTTTGTACCAAACAAGACATTAAAATGCTTCATATATGATTTGCATCTTTTAAATCTTAGAGATATAAATATTGAGACATAGCTCTCCTAAACACAAGAGATAACAAGAAGGAGTCATGTTTAAGCTGCTAGAGAAAAGACACGCTTACCTTACTCGTAGATCCCTTTTTTTTTTTTTAAATAAAAAATCTGACACGTTCACAATTCTTTTACCTACTCATACCTCATCCAATTAGGGTTGCGATTGGCGTAATTTAGACACTTTCTGATGCCATAGGCACATATGAAAACTCTTGCATCAATGTTTGTGCTTGATTCACAAAAGCTAATGAAGGAACCTTTAGATTGTGGAAAGTGGTAGCAAAAACTACTCCATTGTTGATTAGTGAAAAGCCAAGCAATTTTTTGGGGGCATGAAAAATTTATCTTTATTGAAGGATCACAATTGTGAAATGATGATATTTTTTTTTTGTACATGAAGAGTCCTAATCTGAAATTGAAATTCTAACAGAATTTGCAACTAAATGTAATTGTCTTTAATGACAAGCCAAACAAAATCCTGTGTGCCCTTACAAAATTGGAACCTTTATTTAAATTACAACCACAACTATTATTTTCAGCTAGCTTGTGCTATCAAATGAAGAGAGAGAGAGTTTCTTGGCCCCCCTAATAGATGTTCATTGATATTATAAAAGATTTTTCTCTCTCTTCTTCTTCCATTTTTTTTTTCAAAATTTTTCACTGAGTATAAAAATAGCGTGATTTTACGCTCATTTCACATCAAGGTATTATAGAAGAAAAAGTAGAAATATTCGAGCCAATTTGTTGTAATCAATTAGTTAACATGCTGGCTAACCACATTCTTAATCTCGAGACGTATCATGATCATCCAATAAGAAGGGTTTTTATTTTTTAAATGAAAAAAAAAAAAAGCCTGTATTGATTTTTTCTTAGGATCTTATATTGCAGATAACCTAAGAAAAAATCAATACAGGCTTTTTTTTTTTTTCATTTAAAAAATAAAAACCCTTCTTATTGGATGATCATGATACGTCTCGAGATTAAGAATGTGGTTAGCCAGCATGTTAACTAATTGATTACAACAAATTGGCTCGAATATTTCTACTTTTTCTTCTATAATACCTTGATGTGAAATGAGCGTAAAATCACGTTATTTTTATACTCAGTGAAAAATTTTGAAAAAAAAAATGGAAGAAGAAGAGAGAGAAAAATCTTTTATAATATCGATGAACATCTATTAGGGGGGCCAAGAAACTCTCTCTCTTCATTTGATAGCACAAGCTAGCTGAAAATAATAGTTGTGGTTGTAATTTAAATAAAGGTTCCAATTTTGTAAGGGCACACAGGATTTTGTTTGGCTTGTCATTAAAGACAATTACATTTAGTTGCAAATTCTGTTAGAATTTCAATTTCAGATTAGGACTCTTCATGTACAAAAAAAAAATATCATCATTTCACAATTGTGATCCTTCAATAAAGATAAATTTTTCATGCCCCCAAAAAATTGCTTGGCTTTTCACTAATCAACAATGGAGTAGTTTTTGCTACCACTTTCCACAATCTAAAGGTTCCTTCATTAGCTTTTGTGAATCAAGCACAAACATTGATGCAAGAGTTTTCATATGTGCCTATGGCATCAGAAAGTGTCTAAATTACGCCAATCGCAACCCTAATTGGATGAGGTATGAGTAGGTAAAAGAATTGTGAACGTGTNAAACAAAGAAACAAAAAGCAATCCAAATACTATCTACCAGCCATTGAAGCAAATTACTTCGATTGTATACCCAACCCATTCTGTGGATAAATTTTCCCTATTCCACACAAAACTTTCTTGTTCCTTTCACCATAGAGTAGTTTCAGTAGTTTCTTGTTTTTGGTCGAATTAGATAGATATCCTTTCAATACAATCCATTGTAGGCCGTTCGAATCCAGGACTATCCAGCCAAATCATGCAGCAATTGTGCACCCATCAAATTCCTGTATGGCAAATTCTGGCTTTCACTGTCCAAGAGTGAGTATTGAACTGTTTGGCAATCTTCAATGTGGTCTCTGGGGTAAAAAAATGAGTTTTGTGAGGCTGAAGAAAATGCTAAGCTCACCCCAACACTTGCATGGTGTAATCCCAATGTCAAAGATACGCCGCCACTGCCACCGCTACTGCTGCCGACGTAATTGTGAGCCGTGCCGGAACCACCTGCGGAATGATGATTGTATGATGAAAAGTCCAATTCCACAGCACCAAATGATGAGTCCCCCACCCTACCAAAACTATGGTGCTGCTGCTGATGAAGCTGATCATTTTGAAGGGTTTTACTCTTTTTTCCATCATTTTTCTCCGGATTGTTGACGATTGAAGAGAGACATTCGGAATCGATTCTCACAAGTTGATCATGGTTCGGTTTTTCGTCAACGTTTCTTGAGGAATTTAGCTGACCACTGTTCTCATCAAGATTGGTGGTAGAATCATCATTCAAGCCCTCCTTTTCCTTTAGTTCTTCTAAATACATTTGTTCCACCATTGGTTTCCATAGCCTCACCCTAGCATTGATGAACCAATTAGACACCTGCACAACAAACAAACTCATTTATCTTACATGGCAAGAAAACAATACCCATGATTAAAATATCCTTAATATTTTAATACCATAGATGTTTTTTAAGAAGATATGTTCTTGATTACATAAATTAATTCATGGGTTTTGATTTAAATAATGTAAAAATGAAAAGGACTTGCCTGGCTTCTTGAGAGACCTGTTTGGCGGGCTAAAATGTGTTTATCTACATCACTTGGATACCTGCAGGTTTCATTAAAACTCAATACGTACTTTCTTGTGATCAGAATGAAAAAAGATAAAAATTAAAAACTTCAAACAATTTGAATGGATGACAGAGAGTACAGATAATGAGATGGGGCCTATGGAAATTGTATCAGAATCAAACCCACACAAATATAACAAAACGTGCCAAGAAATTTCAAGAAAAAAAATGAAAAATAAATTATATACAGTTGTAGTTAATGAACTTTGGAATCTTAATGGTGGTGGGGAGAAACTAACAAATATTGGCTTGTTTTACAAACTAATGATAGAGACAAACATGCAAGAACCTTAGTACATGGAACAGCAAGTGGGGTGTTTCTTTTTTGTTCGAAGAAAACATTGATTCTTTTCAAGAAATCTAGTTTGACCTAAACTCACATTTGTGCAATGTTAGCAATTCGTACGCGTTTGGTATACAGTATAAGATAGGAGCCCCAAGGAGCTACGCGAGAATTGAAGGTAGAGTTAAGGAATTTACGGGTGGAGGAAGTGTTCAAAAAGCCAAGCGCGAAGAACGGTAACCGATCTTTCAGGCAATCCTCGTTGAGGTCTCCATGGATGGCTTTCCATGATGTTCATTTGCTGGAATGCCCTTTGTTGCCTTAAAGTTTGATCAAGAAGTCTAAGTCTTGGTGTCTCTCCTCTCGTCGTGCCGGGAGCAGCAGTGTCTTTTGCGCCCATTGCTTTCATGGTGGCCTTAATCTGCCAAATAATTCCATCTCTTAAACGCCTAAAATGCCTTGACATGGCCTTTGAAGCTAGGGCAGAATACACTGTTGCAGCCCCATTTCCAGCAACTGCTTCAAATGATGATACCACGGCCTTCATCTGGTCACAGTAGTGCTTGTACCTTCTATCGACCTTTACATACAAATTAATGTAACAGTGAAACAAAAGTCATACAAGATTGTAAATTATAGCATACAACAATTACAGAATCGAGTAGTAATTGTACATTTTTTGTAATTAACAATAGAGGGTTCCAAATTAAATGGAACTGCTGCACTGTCACCATTTAAGCATTAATGGAAGAGCCTGAGAAACTAGTTGAATCAACCACCCTTGACACTTTTAAAAAAAAAAGGGAAAGACACACACACACACTTTCATCTTTATAATTCATAGTCAGTGCAGCGTCTCAAATATATTTAATAGAAGAAGATAGTGTGAATTAAGTAAATAAATATACCTCTTCTAGGAGTTGAAGCAACTTGGTTTTTCTTTTCTGCAATTCAAGAAGATCAAGGGAATACAAAGATTGCTTTTTTATGACATTGTCATCATCCCATTCATTGTTCTTTTGAATCTTTTGCTTTGATGTATTCTCAGAGTGCTTTGAACCAAGATTACAGAACTCATTAAGAAGGTCTTGAGCAGGAGCCAAGTACTTTGAGTTCCTTATGTGGAATTGTTGTTGCATCATTTGTTGCTGTCCTTGAGTATTCACTACAGACCTAGAACTTGATGGACCAAACCTTAAATCATCTTGTTGTCCAAGATCAAAAGACTGATGAATCCCAGTAGTCCCAGGATTTGATGAACTCAAAGAGAGTGAAAGGCGCCTTTCATTTCCTTCACCAGGAAAAACACACCTCAAAGATGGATCATCCACCATCAATCTGTTCTGATTATTCCAAGCTGATGAAGAATCCATCAAGTTCTCATTTGTTGTATCAGATATACCTGTTAAATCATGACTATAAAACTCACTTGTTGATGTGGGCTTGGATGTCGACGCACCGCCCCCAGGCTTGTTGAAGAACTCCTTCCACAAACCTGAGGTGTTTTCATTCTGTTGGTGCAGATTCTTCGGTGGAAACCCTATCATTTCCATTCCAGCAGTCAAGTTGTAGATCTCTAAACTATGCTCAAATGGTTGCAACTGGCTCACCAGATGAGTCTGAATATTTTGATTTCCAGCCGAAGAATCATGATCAGTGTAGCAATATCCAGTAGATGCAACCATGTCCCTTGTTTTCTCTTCACCACGTTGATCCGCCATAGATATAGACCTTCAATCTCCGATTTTGTTTCCTTCTTCTTTATCTAGATTTTCTTGATTTTGTTACTGAAAATCAAGAAAGACCCACCCCATAAATCAGAAAAACAATCTTCATAGCCAAAGTTCTACCTATATATCAAACAAAAAAGTGTCCGTGTGTGTGTGTGTGTGAGAGAGAGAGAGAGAGAGAGAGAGATGAATATGAAAGAGTGGACTATGTTGAGATGTTTAGGTTAACCGTATATGGAGGAGGTTGAGGTGGGGTTTGAGAGGGAGGGTGGGGGGGGTGGTTTAATTAATTAAAATTAGTTATTACGAAAGTAATACTTTTAAAAGTAACAATTTCCCAGCATCGCCTTTCCTACCTCGTGATGGTAGCTCCAAATTTTATTTCTATATTTACTTTATATATGTGTGTGTTATGTTGATCTTTTAACGTGCTTTTACTGCGATGTATTTTCTATTAACATTATTAACAAAATGTTGGGATGGGTAAAAAATGAAGATGCTAGAGAGACGCCAACCTAATTGAGACATCGTCCAAGTTCCATATCCAACCTTATTACATAAAAGACCCGATTTTGTTACTCACGTTTGATCGAAGTAAATAAATTATTTTGAAATTTACTTATAAGTTTAGGGGAACATGGTAGGCTTTCTTTTGTGTCTTTCTTTCTTAGACTTGTGCCCTTAATAACCCAACAAGATATATCATGCCATGAAGCCAACCTAGGAAGGAAGATATACAAATAGGAGTTGATGATGATGACCCATATTTTGATCATTTGATTTGATCTTTGCCCTTTCTCTCTCCTCTTTCTCTCTCTTGTTCATGTAGGTGGATTTAAAATACATACAAACTCACTTCCTAAAAATATACTCAATTATTACATACTCCCACCAAACAAAATATAATATTTAATCCCAAGAACCATCCAAGAATTTTAAAACTTATAATATGGACTTTTTATAATAAGCCCCCTTTTGGCCCTCAGTACTCCCCCATTAAATTAAATTTATTATTTATTTTTCTCTCTTTATGAATTATACATTCTCTAATAAAATAATATTATACATAAATTTAAAAAACTTTCCCTTCTTTGAAAGAAGAAACAGATACTTTAAAGAATGATAGATCATAGATACAAAACAAATATCTGTTGTACTGATAGGGTGAGAATCCCCAGATCTGGAGTTAAACTAGTTTTCTTGCAGGCTTTTTCAGATGGGTTTTAACTATGTAAAACTAGTGTGGACCCGGCTGATATATTCTGATGATATTTGCTTTCAACACAGAGAGAGCTTTGGGAAGATGAGAATGTGTGTGTTTGTGTGTGAGAAAGAAGGGGATGGGAATTAGATGCCAAAATTTGTGTAGGGTTGAGATGAGGTGGTCCAATATTTCTATCTAATTTTAATTAAATCTACCCTTATTAAAGCCCTCCACCAAAAAATGGGACCAGCATCTCCTTTTTCCAAATTTTTTCCACACAGCCAAAAAGGCCCAGACCCCCCACCCCAAAACTAGGGGTGGGAAGAGGTGGGGCAAGCGGTTTGCCCCACTTTTGAATCCAACCACACTTCGATGGAGCGAGCAGGCTCGGATGCTCTCGACCCATTTAATCCCTACCCAAAGCACATTTTTTCACTACTTAGTGGAATAAATTTACAAGAAACCCCACTTAAAAGCATATTTTTTCGACTTCTTTGATAGTATGATCTGTTTACTGTCAAAATAAACACCTAAACGTGCTTTCAAGTAGAGTCAAGATTGTCTTCTTTCCAAACTAATATGAATCGACATTAACTCAATTATATCGACCTTCATTCGGTTAAAATTTACTCTATTCAGTCAAAATTGATCAACAAAAGGCAAACGCACAAAGAGGGTGGGCTACTACAGGTTCACCGATTAGGGCGGTCGGGGCTGGGTTCGGGAGGGTGCGTACATTTAGCTCAATTATCATCCATTCTATCGTCTATTATGACACACATGCATGCTTAGTGTTAATACACTAACAACATGTTTGTCCAATCTTAAAAGTTATTCGCAAATCAAAACAGTTGAATTGAAAACTAAAAACGCGTACCAACGTGACTGAACAATCGTCGATTCTAAAGTAAGAGCACGCGTTGAAATACGCCACTTAGTCACGCACTAAGACTAGGTGCAGGATATAGAATCTCCTCTTATGCGTGTAACATGGATTGGTGGTGATGTAGTCACGCGCAAATCACGTGTGGACCTTTTGAATCCAAACAACTTTAATTTTTGTCTCTTAAAGGGAACGTGGTCCTCTACACATACAATGCACACAAATATATTTGGACTTTTCTCGATTGGAAATTTCATCTTACCGTAAATTGGGGCAAACTACGAACTGCGAATGAAATAAAATCGGTGACTGGACGAATTGGACCAAATTGGAATCCATTTGACAAGTTTGATCAAATTCCTTCCCTAGCAATTAAAAAAAAAATGAAATTGGATTCATCGAAATGGGAATCGAACATTTTGTTTCTTTATTTATTGAATTTTCAAATTGTAGTGGGGAAATTCAATTGCAATGCATTCACATACACCTCTAGCCAATTTTCCGACACTTTATATACTTGAAAGGACATAAAGTCAAGTCGAGACTTCGATTTTTTTCTCCACGTTTATAAAGAACATATACTTCTTTGCTTAAAAAGAAAGATTTGAATATATTTTTTGAAAATTAGACCTTACCTACCTCTAGTCCACATATATCTTTTATGAATTAATTATTTCTTTGTATATTTAGGTATTAGTTTGTTATGTTCTTAATAGTTGTTTGGTGTTTGTGGGCATGTAATACATATATGCATCCATACATTTATACATACATATATATATGTATAAATATATACATATAGAGAGAGATGCATAAGTGATACTTGCAGTTATAGTAAAAGTGAAATGGTATGATTATATAGAGGTGCAGATATTTCAGGTGCAAAAAGGAGTGTTTAGTCAACTTCAAGTTCATTGAAACTTGTATTTACCAGTTGGTTAAGCAGTCACAGAGTCTTAAAATGATTATTGGGGTGGGTGGGGTAGGGTAGGTGTAGGGTGGTCCCTTTTCTTTTGTGGACCATTCTACAACCTCAATTTTCAGTAACTAAAACAAGAACCCTACAAACCTGTGACTGGCCTTTTAGGAGCTCAGCTTTTTTTATTGTAATTATTAATGGGATTGCATGCATCTATGGAATCGAATCAGTTCCAATGATCTTCTGTTTTGTAAATCATAATCTTATGGTTAGGACTAATTAATCCCCACCCCCCCACCCCCCCTCCTCCCCCTCGCCTTTTCAAAAAATGCATTTTACAATAATCTTATAATGAAGAATGTGTGGTTAAAAAATAAGATTTTTTTTTTCTGAATTTACGTGTAATACTAATTTATTGAAGAGTATGTGGTTCAAACGAGGTTAATCAATGTAGAAGAATGCATTTTGATAGAAAATTGGTACTCAAACTACGGCTAAACTAACTTCCTTTAAAAGGATTTTTTTTACATAGAAAATAGTTTCAGAAAATTATTCAATGAGTTCAAAAGTAACTTCTTAATCTCAGAAGAAAAAATTTGACTTTTCAAAAGTCTTACCAAATGGACCCTAAATGATCTTGTAATTGGTAATACCCGTGTTGAGTTGAACAATACAATGATAATTTGTTCTCTGTCTTGTAAAGGTGTGATTGTAAATTTAGTTGAGAGTATTTGATGCAATGCGGGATATGGAGTTGGCCTATATGGATGTGTTCGACCGACATTGGAGTCGGGACGTTCTAAAATGTGCTTGTGAATGGAGAATAATTTGACGATTAGTTCTGTAGGCATTGTTTGCAGCATCAATGTACTCATAAAGTGTTTATTACATCTAGAGCATTTTGATCAATTGCTCTATCTTATATTTTTATTATTTCGGTTAGTATTTAAACACTTTTTAATTTGTAAGCTCTTTTAGGGTTGGTTGAACGTTTATAAATTTATAAAACAAAATAATTGTTCTTCGAAACCTTAAAATCAAGAAGGTTATTTGGCGTTTAGTGCTTAAGCACTAATCTAATATCATTGTCTCTCCGTAAGCTATTGATGTTATACATGCGTTAAAGAATCTAAGTCTCTGTTTCAGTCCCAATTTTTAAAAATAAATTTGGTAAAATGTGGGGTTAGAAAGTTCGGAAAAGTTTTGGATTTACATGAAAAATTGAAGAACGTGTAATTGAAAATGAGTTTTGAAAAAAATAAATTTAAAAAATGGGGCACTGACATGGGCTAGTTTTCTAAAAGTTAACACTTATATGCAAGTAATGGCTATGTTTATTCAAAAAAGTAACTAATTTCAAACATAGCATTTTAGTTTGCTTCTATAAACCAACTTTTATCATCTATATATATATATATATATGTTTGAAGTAACAAAGAAAGCTATACAACTCTATTTGGTTCTTGAATGGACTGTCAAGATCTCTTTGATGCTTTCATACTCCAACTAATTAATCATGGAATAGAATATCAATTACAAGACTTTTAATCAGTCAAGTGAAGTTTATGCATGCCCTTATTAGAAAAGTATTAGTGGTGGTGAAAGAATTGATTTCTAGAGAGTCTTGAATGAATATAGAAAATAGCTCACTTTGATCAAGACCCTAAAATATTACGAAAAATACTACGACAAACTTTCAACATATTTAACGCGCTTAACTAAACTTGGAATCGAGTTTTATTATGGTATACGTTTTTTCATTTTTCATTTCTATTAAGCCGTTGTTTGGTTTAGGTAAAAAGTTGATAAAAATTAAAGTTAAAGTCAATAATCAATTTTAATCACACGTTTTATGGGGACTCACAGTTTTATCAAAATTTACTAAAAATTGATTTTTAACCAGACTAATCAAAGGCTAAGTATCTAACTATTGGAGTGAGCTAAGGTGAAAATTAGGTAAAGAAAACAAAAAATGATCATAGGCT